TTGTACAACTTTCGCACAAGACAGCACCCCCTCGGCGAGTATGATACAAACCGACCCTTAAAATCCCAGGTCGCTAGTTCAATTTGTTCTCGTGCTATCGTGATGACAGACAAACACACACACAAACAGACAGACAGACGCGAAACTTTTTGATCATCACTGGAGTAATAGGCTTCGCTAATCGCTCAGCCAATTACTCTAGTGATGATCAGAAAGTTTCGCGTCTGTGTGTATTTCTGTCTGTCTGTTCTCACGATAACTCGAGAACGGTATGAGGTAGAAGGCTTAGATTTTTTTTGTAACTTTGTATCAAAAAAAGGAAGAACTGTATTGAGCTCTCTGGCTCAAAAATTGACCAGTCAAAAAATCAAAAACCAAGGAGCTCAAAACATTTCTATTACTAGGTAGATGTACGCCAGACCACGTCTCGCGTAACAGGATTCGCGATATCTCACGAAACACTGTTCCGCTGCGAGGCGCCTGGCATACATCTACCTAGGCCTGCGGCGCTGACACCCGAGTCGGGCAAAAGGCAGAGTCGTAAGTAGGCATTCGGCCCCAAAAGTCACGAATTTTGTCCCTCGGGGTTTTATTTTAACGAGTTAGCCCACCGGACACCATCAAATATCTGAGAAAACACATAAAAATGTTTTGCGGCCACTTTCGTGTATAAAACTCCCTCTGGTGCCTAAACGGTTGAAGATGGAGCCAAATGGACGGAATTTTCGCCCGGAGGGCTCTACTTTGATGAGTTACCCCTTAGGAAACAGTTAAAAAAATAGTTTTTAAAAACGTAATTTTGAGGACCTGTGGTTTTTGATTTTTTAAAAATACAACTTTTGGGCTAGAATGCTCTTCTTCGAACTTGATCTGTCTTTTTATGACACAAAACGACCCTGCAAATCCCAGGTCGGTAGCTCAATTCGTTCTCGAGTTATCGTGATGACAGACAAACACACAGACAGACACACAGTCAGACGCGAAACTTTTTGATCATCACTGGAGTAATAGGCTTCGCTAATCGCTCAGCCAAAAACCCTTTTTACAACTAGCTATATGTACGCCAGACCACGTCTCGCGTAGAAGGCTTCGCGATATATCACGAAACACTGTTACGCTGTGACGCGCCTGGCGCACATATAGCTAGGCCTGCGGCGCTGACACCCCAGACGAGTTAAATTTTACGATTTAATAGACCATTTTCACCTTATTTTCGCCAAGACATGCTCCCTAGCACCCAAACGGTGCGAGATAGAGCAAAACAGACAAAATTTTCGTCCAAAGGGTTCTACTTTCACGAGTTACCCCTTAGAAGCCCATGAAAAATATTTGAAAAAAAT